TATCATCTCGGCCACGGATACTGCTGTTTTTGCACCAGGACCCGTTTATAAAAATCCAGAAAACAAGGTCCCGGCTCATTGTAGACAATGCCTATTTCGGATGAAATAGGATGCGACCCCATGAAAACGACAAGCTCACGGAAGCCACAGGGGAGTTCCCACCCGAGGTCAGAGCTCACCCCACGCGCCCCCAGCCCAGGCTGCCAGGGATGTGCCGCGTCACGGCCCTGTTTGGCTTCCACGTCCCAGGACGATGGTGAGAAGGGGTGTCAGCTGAACAGCCAAGGCCAAGGTGGGGAAGCAACGTGTCCAGGTCAAAACGCCACAGGGCAGAGCTGGGGTGGGACCCGGCCATCAGACTTTTAACAGGACACCCTTCCCAGGACAGGGGATAGACCCCTGCCTGACCGAGGAAGAAAGGCAGCAAGCAAGCATATCATCCTGCAGATGAGGCCAAGCCAGCCAGGTAGGCAAGCCTCAGTTTCCCTTCTGTGAAATGCGGATGGGACAGACCTGGTCCCAGGGTCTGCGTGAGGCTAAAGGAGATGGAGCCTCTAACGCAGGTGCTTGGAGGAGTTGTCCTTGTCCTCCTACCTGAGCCGAGGCCCATGGCCAGTGGGCACGGCTCTCAGCCCCGTCCTGAGATCTGACGGCAGCTGCTGCGGCTGGGTGGGCTGCTGGCCACGTGGGCCCTAATAGTGGGAGCTGTGGGCCCCGGTGCAGGATCAGCTAAGTATGGGCATCAGTGGACAGGGGTTGGGTTGGGGAGGGGCATCAGGGAGCTGTCTTGTCCGCAGCGGTCCCCGTTTGCACATTCATGTGAGCGTGGGAGAGGAGGAGCCTGGGTGCCCCCTGGATAGGCCCTAGCTTGGTAGGGGGGAGGGGTCTTCCCGGGGGCTGGACCATGCAGTGGGTCCCTGGGGAGCCCGGCCTGCATCGGTGACAAGGACCCGCAGAGCCGCCCCCCACCTGCGGGGCTGGGGAGACCTCTGCTGGAGGAGACGGGAAGTGCGCAGCCCTCCTCCAAAGGGACCAAGGCAGCGGGGAGTGGGGGGGCTCGGCGTGCCCCCGGCCGGCGCAGACTCGGGACAGCACAGCCTCCAGGCTGGGGCGCCGGGGTGGGAAGGCGGCCACGGAGCCCCCTCGCAGTCTCTCTCTCCTGGGCGGCCATTAATCGGCTCTATTCATCCATTAATGAGATGGAAATGAGGCGCTGAGACAGAGGGGCATTGAGCGGGGGAAGAATGCGGCTTCTTTCCGCGCCTGGAGGGGCGGCCCGCCCCCCAGCCTTGCCCACTGCTCAGCAGCCCCGGGAAGCCCGCTGGGCCCTGTGGGCCGAGGAGAGCTTGCAGGGGGACCCCTCCGGTCATGGACGCATTTGCTCAACAAACACTGATCCAGTGGCAGCCATGTGTGGGAACACACATTAAAAATAAAAACGGTAACAAAAATAGCAGCTTCCATCTCCTGAGTGATCATCAGCGGCCAGAGCATGGCCAAGGTTGGAGATCAGTATGTGACGGGGATCAGGCCTCAGTATGTGAATGGGGAGCAGGGATCCTGCGCCCAGGATCCCAAGTTAGTCTGTCATGAGGATCAAGGCTCAGAGTGTGACCAGGCTCAGAGCTAGACCCAGGGGCCAGCCTGTCCTCCAGACCCGTGGGCCCCCTCCCCAGCCTCTCCTGATGCACCCCCTCCTCTTCACCCCTCCCCCCCACCTGGGTCACCAAGGTAACCAGCCCTGAAATAGTGGGTGTTTTGGCAGCTGAGGCCTAACCTGAGTCTATCCTGAAACTCTGAGCTCTGCAGCAGTTTCCATGGGAACCAAGTGGCATCCTCCAATTAGCCTGGCTTGGACACCCTCTCTCTCCCACCCACTGCCAGTTTCCACGTCACTCAGGCTTCCTTGTGGGGGCTGGGCTGGGGCAGCCAGGAAGGACGGGCAGGACGTGCCCCCCGACCCTGTCACCTGGCTGTCTCCCTGGACTCCAGCCTCCTCCGTTCCTTTGGGTCTGCATGACGGGATGGCACGGCTTCAGCAGGCGGCACCACTGAGGCCTGGAGCGAGGGGTTGGGGCTTGTGGGCGGTCCTGGCAGGTGGCCTTAGTCGGGAGGCACAGGGGGGCTTTTGGAAGCTGATTCTGGGCTTGGTGCTGGCTCCTCTCCTCATCAGCGGGAGGTAACTCGGCCTCCCTTCTGCACCTGCCTGGCCGCGTGGGCACGAGGCTGCTGCCCACCCTGCCCGAGCCGCCCCCTGTCCTGGCCCGTGGCCACTGGGGGCTCCCCAGCCCTCTCCCCGGGCCCCCAGTCTGCGCACGTGCTCGGGCCCCAGCCCACCTCTCTGGAGTCCGAACGGGATACGGGTGGTTTAAGATGAAGCGGCATTTGCGTAGGACCCTCCACATGTACAGTTCCTACTCCGCTCTTGAGACCCTGGCTCCGTGCACCTTGGAGGCTCGGGCTTCCTCAGTGCCAGCACCCCCTCCCCGGGCAGACCCTCGTGGCAGCGGCCTGGCCCTAGCCCCTGGCTGTCCTCCATTTCCTCTGCTGTAAATGGGGTGAAAGTGGCCTCCCGGGCAGGCCGGGGTTCAAGGCTCCTGTGCCGAGGTGCCTGTCACAGAGTAGGGCCCACCAGGGCAGGGACAGGGGCAGGGGTAGGGGCAGGGTTCCCCTGCGCAGGAGGTCCCCTGGGGGAGCTGGCCACAGTGGCCGGGGAAGGAGCATCCTTTCTTGGAGAGTCCGGCAGCCTGGCTCGATTGCCCTTTGGCCACTCCCTACCTGGGGGGCACGGGCACCCCTCTACTTCAGCGGGCCTTGGTCTTCTCATATGAGCACTGGGAGCCACAAGGTGTCCCTCGTGGGAACTCAGTGACCAGTGAGGGCATCTGACCCAGACCCCGTAAGGGGCTCAAACCAGACCCCTCCGCGCCGCCCCCCCAAGAGCGAGGAACCATGCAAAATGCAGCCCTGCTCCCACTGTGTGGCCCTGGCAGGCCCTTCCCAGGCCCAACAGCACATCTGCGAGCCCCGTGGTCCTGTGTGTGAGCCCCAGAGAGCAGCATCCACGCCCGGCCACTGAGGGGAGGTCACTGCGGTCTGAGCCAGCCCCTCCCGCACATTCCCTGTGGTCTGGATGCCTTCACTGGCCTGCCTTCCCCACCCACCAGCACCAGCCGACATGCAGGACGAGAGGCTCAATGGCTGTGGGCCCTTGGCAGAGGCGCTCTGCCCCTCTGGGCCCAGGGGGAGGGGGCTCCCGCCGGCCTGTGCCTCCCACGCGTCTGCCCCTGGCTCCCCCTGCTGGGCACTGCCCAACACAGGCCCACAGGCAATGAGGAGGGGCTCTGGCACCTTCCCAAGTGGCCACCCACAGAACAGAGCAGCACCCGCCCTGAGTCACCTGGGCACCAAGTGGGTTGTCCGGGGTCAACTCTGCCCCCAGTGACTGTCCACACCCATCCCCCCCAGCCCTTTCTTGCCATTTATCTCCATGCCATCAGTTCTGGGAAGTAGCTCCCCATCATCCTCAGATAAGAGGCATGAGGCCAGGGCGGGATGGACTTGACCATCCCATGCCAGTGGGCAGCGGGAGGGGGGGGCCAGCATGGAAACCTGGTCTTTCAGCTCCAGCCCCGCCCTCTGCCCCTGTCCTAGGGCCCACCCTCAGGGGCTCCAGCAGCCTTTATTCTCTCCCTTGGGGTGGGGTCTACTTCCCCAAGCCACAGATACAAGCCAAACTCCAAGAGGCACCCGGGGCCCTTCTCACAGGCCACGTGTGTCCAACCTCAGGTGAGCAGGCCCCGTGGGGCAGTGGCCCAGCTTGAGTGCAGGTTCCCTGTTGGTCCCGGCAATGCCAGCCAGGTTCCTGGCCACCTCGGAAGCCAGTGCCATGGCAGAGCGTCCCGCCCAGAGTAGGTGCTGGTGAAGCTGCTTACCCTGACCCAGTGTACTCCGATCCTGCTTCGCTGGGAGCGCAGGGGTCCTGGTGTCCCCGAGGACACACGGGATAGCGGTGGCTAGAGTCCAGCGTAGCGCCATGGTCCGGGCCCCAGATCCCGTGGTCCCGGTCCATGGCCTTTGGACAGAAGCAGCCTTCCTCAGTCCATCAGTGCGGCCTCCACACTCTGGCCCAAGATGAGCAGCCTCCCTGCGACTCAGCCATCAGCAGCCCCCCAGTACTTAGCCTGTTCAGCATGCTTAGTGGATGTGGGCCACCCAGGGGCTCACACCCTCAGGGATTTTAGGGGCAACAGGGCCAGGATGGAGGAGACTCATGACAGGGGCTGAAAGGGGGTGGCTGGAGGCCTTCGTCCACAAGCTCCCTTGGCAGCCAGGCACCAGCCCTGCTAGGTCTGGGGGAGTGAGGGAGAGAGCACCCAGATCATGGCCAGGAGGTGGGGGCTCAGAGGACACTGGACTGAGGACCATGGGGAGGGGTCCAGCAGGGCTTGAGAATCTGTGCTGGGGAATGAGGGCCCCCTCGGCCCTGGCACCTATCACCAGAACCTTACAAGAGGCAGCCATGGGGGGAGGGGGGCAGCAGGGCTGTCTTTCTTTCTTCCATTCATTCATTCTTCAGACACCCCTGGGGCTCCAGCTCTGTGTCCAGCCCCTACCCTGGGGGCCTGGGTTCAAAGCCAGTAGAGACCTTGGCACAGGTACGGGTAGAGAGAGAGCTGGAGAGGGACACCCGGCGAGTGGGGTAGGCACCAGGCCCCCAGGGCCATCCCCCAAGGCAGACCCTTCGCCAGCACCTCTGCCCCTCCCTGCCCCTGCCGGCCTCTGCTTCACAGGCCCAGGACGGGCTGCCCAGGCCCGCACTCGTCTCCCAGCCCACCCCCCCAAGGCTGCGCTGCCTCACGGCCCGGGACTCACAGGCTTCGGACCCGCGGGTGCTCTACGACCCTGCCCAGGAGACTCCCAGAGGCAACTCCCTGAAAGACACCCGAGCCCTTTGCCCCGCCCCTGGCCCTGACCCCCCCACCCCCCGTTCCTCCCAGGTGGCTGGAAGCTGTGGTCCCTGTGGGGCGAGTGCACTCGGGACTGCGGGGGAGGCCTACAGACGCGGACGCGCACCTGCCTGCCGGCTCCCGGCACCGAGGGCCGCGGCTGCGAGGGGGTGCTGGAGGAGGGCCGCCTGTGCAACCGCAAGGCCTGCGGCCGTGAGTGCGCGGACGACGCGCGGGCGGGTTGGGCCTGGGGTCCGCAAGGCCAGAGGAGGGAGGGAGGGAGGGAGGGGGCCCATGGCGGGACCAAGGGAGGGAAGAGGCCTGGGGCGGGGCCAGAGGAGGGAGGGGGGTCCGGGGCGGGACCAGGGGATGAAGGGCGGGGCCAGGGGAGGGGAGGGGAGGGAGGGACCCAGGGCGGGGTGGGACAGGGTAGAGGGAAGGAAACCTCCAGGGCAAGGTCAGGTTGGGGAGGAAGGGGACCCGGGGCGCGGCCAAGTGAGGGGAGGGAGGAGCCTGGGGCGGGGCCAGGTGAGGGAGAGTGGGGGCCCGGGGTGGGGCCAGGTGAGGGAGGATCGGGGGATGAGGCCAGACGAGGGAGGGGCCCGGGACGGGGTGGGACCGGATAGGGGGGAAAGGAAACTTCGAGGAAAAGGTCAGGTGGGGGAGGGGCCTTGGCCCGAAAGAGACCGAGTGGGCCCCGGGCTTTTTGGGGCGGGGCCTGGGGCGGGGCGGGGCCGAGGCCTGGTCCAGGTGGGGCAAGGACCCGTAGAGGTGAGGACCCGGGAGGAGGGGGTTGGACCCCCGCCCCGCCCGGAGTTAGACGGAGCTAGTGGAGGAGCTTTCATCTCCCCTGGGGGATTAGGAATTTTGGGGTGCTCGAGGAGGGCCAACTGCTCGCGGAGGACCCGGGGAGCCTGGGCCAGACCTGCTGGCCCCAGCCTGATCCTGACTCCAGAATGTATTTCTGTAATAAGACTTTAATGTCCTTATGCATATTTTAGCCGCTCCCATAATGTTAAATCAAGTTATAATGAGACTGTCATTCTTCGGGTGGTTTATTCCCTGAAGAACTTTCCTGGGGAGAGGAGCTCATCTCAAGAATGGGGAGGGCTCTGGGGTGTCAGGAGGCCATGGGAGACAGGAGCGCTGGTGGGACGCTGAGCAGGAAAGGGCAACAGCCACTCAGACCCGGTCCTGCCGGCGATGCCTGCGACTCTGGAGGAAGAGAGGGAAGGGGCGCAGGGCAGGGGAGAGGGGACCCACAGGGAGGGGTCTCATGGCGACTACTCAGGGGCTGGTGTCAGGCCAGGGTGTCCTGGTTTCAGGTTTCCTAACTGTCCAGTGGGGCCACATAACCCGGGCGTGGCAAACCTGCCCCCACTCTGGCCGGGGACAGAGGGACACAGGGCCCAGAGCGCCCCTCCTGAATTCCGGGGGTGGTGCTGCAGGCGGTGGCCTGGACACTGACCTGAGCCCGTCCTGCAGCGGCCAGTCGCACCAGCTCCCGAAGCCAGTCCTTGCGATCCACAGATGCCCGGCGGCGCGAGGAGCCGGGGGATGAGCTGCAGCAGTTTGGGTTCCCGTCCCCACAGACAGGTGAGCCACGGGGTGAGCAGGCCTGACATGCCCTCAATTAGACTAAAACACTACAAAGTGGGGAAGGTTGGTTTCAGGGAACAGGGCCTTTGGGCAAATATTCTACGTTATTAATTGCTGATTCTAGGTAATAACCTTAATAACTTACCTTTAGACTCACCTCTTAGGTGCCAAGCAGACTGGATTTAGGGGACTGGTGTGAGGCGAGGGGCCTGTTTGGGGCTAGACCTGGGGACCCAGAGGTGGCACAAGGCCACCCACAGAGGTTCTCAGCCTGGTAGGGGAAATGGCAAGTCCTGAAGATCAGCCCAGGTGGGAACCTCCAGGGCTTAAGAGCGCGGTGGCCCTGCTCCGCCGAGTCCGACCGCAGCCTCAGCACCCAGGCAGCGGCAGGCCTGCGATGATGTCGGTCTGGGCCCGCAGGTGACCCCGCAGCCGAGGAGTGGTCCCCGTGGAGCGTGTGCTCCAGCACCTGCGGCGAGGGCTGGCAGACCCGCACGCGCTTCTGCGTGTCCTCTTCCTACAGCACGCAGTGCAGCGGGCCTCTGCGCGAGCAGCGACTGTGCAACAACTCGGCCGTGTGTCCAGGTGGGTCCGGGAGGGGGCGGGCCGGGGCGGGGCGGGCGGGGAGGGGGCGGGGCAGCGGCGGGCCGCCCGGGTTGCGAAGCCCAGCCACGCCCTCCTGTCCCCTCCGCAGTGCACGGCGCCTGGGACGAGTGGTCGCCTTGGAGCCTCTGCTCCAGCACCTGCGGCCGTGGCTTCCGAGACCGCACGCGCACCTGCAGGCCCCCCCAGTTTGGCGGCAACCCCTGTGAGGGCCCCGAGAAGCAAACTAAGTTTTGCAACATCGCCCTGTGTCCTGGTAGGTGAGAGGGAGGGAGCTGGGCAGGCGAAGAAAGGAAAGGGGGGAGGGCCGCTGGGTCCCGGGCCAGCCTGCTGGGGTGCTTAGAGGCTGGAGAGCCTAGGGCATTCTCACTCGTGTGCCATGAGTGTTGGGGTGGCACCCCCCCAGGTGCTCACACCCATGTCCCAGGCTTCGTGGAGGTGTGGTGGACCCCAGAGGCGTTCACGCCTGTGACCCAGGATGCATGGTGGAGTGGCAGGCCCCTGGAGGTGTTCACACTTGTGACACAGGGTTGGGCGGTGAGCCCCTGGGGGTGTTCAGTTCTCCCCCGTGGCCCAGGCCGGATGGTGGGGTGGGGGGCCCCTGGAGGCATTCACACCCGTGACCCAGGCTGGGTACTCACGCTGGCTTCCTGTCCCCTTTCTCCCCCGGGCCGGGCAGTGGATGGAAACTGGAACGAGTGGTCAAGCTGGAGCGCGTGCTCCAGCAGCTGCTCCCAGGGCCGGCAGCAGCGCACACGGGAGTGCAACGGGCCTTCCTACGGGGGCGCCGAATGCCAGGGCCACTGGGTGGAGACTCGAGACTGCTTCCTCCAGCAGTGCCCAGGTCAGGACCACGCCCGGGGCCTGTGGGGGGGGGTCGCGGGGACCCCTGCACGGGGCGGGGGGGGGGCTCTGGTTCTGCCCCCCAGGTCTCAATTTCTTTTCTCCCATGGCTTCCTGCTGCTACATCCCTGGGCCCCCATGTCTCTGCGTCCCCACGGCTCCGGGACCTGCACCTTCCTTGTCCCCATCGGGGTGCCCCCCGTGCCGGGCTGTGCCCTGCAGTGGATGGCAAGTGGCAGGCCTGGGCATCATGGGGCGGCTGCAGTGTCACGTGCGGGGGCGGCACACAGCGACGGGCACGCGCCTGCTCCGGCCCGTTCTTCGGGGGGGCAGCCTGCCGGGGCCCGCAGGATGAGTTTCGGCAGTGTGGCGCCCAGCGGTGTCCTGGTGAGTGTCCTCCTTCCCGTCCCCCTGGCTGGGCTCTGGGCAGGGCCACCCGGAGCAACCGGGTGGGCTTGGGGCTTAGCTTTGCTGGGAATGGCTCTGCCTTGGGACAGTAGATGTTCTGGAAGGGTCTTGGCCTCCCGGAGCCTCTGCCAGCTCATGGTCCCCCTTCCCATACCCTGCCCCACCCACTGCCCCTGGCCCCTCGGCAGAGCCCCACGAGATCTGTGACGAGGACAACTTTGGCACGGTGGTCTGGAAAGAGACTCCAGCAGGAGAGGTGGCTGCCGTCCGGTGTCCCCGCAATGCCACAGGTGAGGGCTGGGGGGGCCGAGTCCCACCTCACAGAGAGGCACTGACACGCCCTCCGGGCCTGCCCCAAAGAGCTGTCAGCTCGTGCCCACTGAAGCCAGGGCAGCATGGCTGGGCCCCACGCGGCCCGCCCCAGTGTCCTGAACGCTCCCCGAGAGCCAGCATCTGCACAGAGCCCATTGCAACGGATGTCCAGTTATAGGTGGGAGACTGAGGCACAAAGAAATTAATACACCTGCCCTGGGCTTGCAGGGCCAGTAAGTAAGAAGCTGACTCTGAATGCAAGCAGCCTTAATCCCCGGGGCAGCCCTGTGGAGGGTTTGGGGGGGGGTGTGGAAAAGCGGAATGTGCTCCTAAGGGAAGGGGCTTAGCTGCCCTGAGGGCCTGGTCTTCTTTGTCCCTCTTATTTGAAGGAATGCCATCAGTTTGTGGACCCTTATTGCTGTGTGACGTTCAGGAATTGACTTGACCTCTCTGAGCCTCCATTTTCTGTCTGTAAAAGGAGGGTGTTTGGGGCTGTCCCAACAGGGCTGTCGCTAGGAAGGGTGGGGTGGGACACACAGGACGGGGACAGCGGTGGGGCCGACGGTGGGGTTGTGTATACCTGAGCCCCACCCCGTCTTGTTTACGTGTTCCTGGGAGCATATTGCAAATGCAGAGAAGCAAAGTTAAGAAAACGCAGGTCACACGATGGCGTGACCTCTGGCCTTTGGTCTGCGAGTATGACCACATTCCCGCCTTATTGTGATCCTGCGCCCCACTGTGGAACAGGTGTCCCTTCCCACCCAGGGGCTGGTGTCAGGTGGCAGTTCCCTGGGGTCAGCCCTGTGGTGTGCCACGGCTGCCAAATGCCCCCTCCGTGTCTGCACGACACCCAGGCCAGCGGAGGCCCCTGCCATGCTGTGGGTGGAGCTGGGCAGGGCCTGGGCTGTTGGCTCTCCCGGGGGCTCTGGGTTGAGAGGGGCTTCAGGAGAGGCCCCCCACTCGGCCGAGGCCTCCACCTCCATGCAGGTGGGGTCCTGGGTCCCTGGCCCAGCAGCTGCCTTTTGCAGGAGCTGCCGCTAAACGTGCTGAAGGAAAGAAACAAGGAAGCCAGGCCCCGTGCTGGCTCCGCCCTCGGTGGGAGCCCCCCCCCCACCCCGCCCGCTTCTGAAGGCTGGAGGGGCTTGTGCAGGGGGTGGGATTTCTGCGCCAGAGGCAGAGACGACCCGCTGTCTCCCCAGGCCTCATCCTGCGACGCTGTGAGCTGGACGAGGAGGGCATCGCCTACTGGGAGCCCCCCACCTACATCCGTTGTGTCTCCATCGACTACCGGAACATCCAGATGATGGTGAGAGTGGGCTCTGGGGTGTCGCGCCCTGCCCAGCACTCCTCTGCCCTTTAACCTCAGACCCAGCCCTACGGCTGGCCTGTGGACACAAGTCAGCTGTGGCCACTGGCTGGGGGCGGCAGGAGGCCCAAGGCCCTGCCTTGCCGAGTCCTGCAGAATCATGGCATCCACCCCCTCCATCTCTCCAGACCCGGGAGCACCTGGCAAAGGCTCAGCGTGGGCTGCCTGGGGAGGGAGTCTCCGAGGTGATCCAGACGCTGGTGGAGATCTCCCAGGACGGGACCAGCTACAGTGGGGACCTTCTTTCCACCATCGATGTCTTGAGGAATATGACGGAGATCTTCCGGAGGGCGTACTACAGCCCCACCCCTGGGGATGCGCAGGTGGGCTCCCAGAGGGCAGCCCTAGGGAGGGCACCTGGGAAAGTGAATAGGGAGTCCCTGACTGCAGCCTCACACTGAGCCCTGACCTGGCCACCTGCTGAGCCCTGACCCCTGTTACTGAGCCCTGACCTGGCCACCTGCTGAG